TATATATATTTTTTTTTTTTTTTTTCTACACCAATTTAATTTCAGCATAAACAAAGTAGTGCAAAGAAAATAATGTAAGATCCCAAATGTTACTCTTGATACATATATATTTTTAAAAACTTACTGGTTTTTAAGAGCATACTGATCCCAGATCAGCCTATAACTGTGAGTAACACGCGTTCATTGTGAAAATATATCCCCGTACACATTTCTGGAGAGCCTGAAATGTGTAGCCAGAGCTAAATATGGCTGTATTTCATCTTTAAAAGAAATGCTATTTGGTGGAATGACATCGCAGACGGCCTGTTTCTTTTCCCTCTACCTCTGTGTGGACGGCTTTCCTACTGTTACCAGTCGGTGGACTTAAGATGTTGAGAGGAGTTGACAGCGACGATGATGTTTGAGTTTGACGAAGAATGGTTTCAGAAAGCAAACAAAAGCCAAAAGTAAACAAGTAAATAACAGGGTGAGAATGTGGTAAGATCTGAAAACGTGGTAAAAATCAGGAGAGGGCTTTTATTTTTCTGGATTGCTTTTGAAAACACTGTCAGTGGATTGGTCGGTTGTTCTGGCAGTCAGTCGACAGCGGCCTCTGGTGGATTTTCGCAAGAACACCAGGCATGAATGGCACTCATGTGACAAATTTGAGATCTGAAAAAGCGTACACAGCGGCCTCTGGTGGATTCACTAAAACAAAAACTGCAAAAAAAAACGTAGCTCCTGAGATCTGCAGAAATGTATATAGGGATATGTATCAAAAATAAGCCTGGGTTGATTGTGTGTGGGTTGCATGTAAAAACACTGCAGTCAGTTTGTATTTTTCCTGTACTCAGAGTGGTTACGTTGACCTCTGACCTTTAGGTACGCCAGTCTGTATTTCTGCTGTGGTTTAGAGCAAGATGACAATGAACTGCTCACGCTGGATATTCTGCACAGATACGTGGAGCTGCTGGACCAGTACTTTGGCAATGTAAGGAAAATGTATTTAAAGTAAAAAATGTATCAAATAAAAACTATTAAAACTCTTGCGGTCAGGATCCTTTTTTAAATTAATTAATTTAATTAATTAAATGCACACTTTTATTCAGAAAGGATGCATAAGATTGATCAAAAGTGACAACAAAGACATTTGATTGTGTGTTTTGTGTCTCTTGCGATTGATGCATTTGGTGTCTGCTTTGATATCTGTGTTGCAGGTGTGTGAATTAGACATCATTTTTAACTTCGAGAAGGCTTATTTTATCCTGGATGAGTTTGTCATTGGTGGAGAAGTGCAGGAAACATCCAAAGCGTCTGTGGCCAAATCAATAGAGGAGGCCGAATCACTTCAGGAGGTCAGACACTGAAAGTATATACATTTTTGATTTACATTTCAATGTTATGTTGCTTCATTTTTATATAAACGTATATTTTTTTCAGCTCCTATTTAGATTTTGACTTCTGTTAACGAAAGGTGGTCTAAAGTATGGCCCAATCACTGTTTTTAAATCTCTTTTTAAGGTCACTTTTTAAAACGTTCCTGTTCAGTTTGACCTATTAATATTATACTGATAGTTTTGCCAAATGCTTTGTTTCTAAACATACATCTGTTATTTCTCTTGGTTTTATTTCTGTTTTTCTGTTGTTGTTTATTTTTCCTGTTTTTGTTCTAAATATTAGTCTGTCTTGTGTACTGTACAGCACTTTGGTCAGTCTTGTGAATGTTTTTTTTAAATGTGCTTTGTAATAAATGAACTTGAACTCTGACAATATTGAATTGAAGACAACATTATTATCCCTCCTGTGAAATTCATTCATTCAATTTCTTTTCAGTTTAGTCCCTTTATTAATCAGGGGTCGCCACCGCGGAATGAACCGCCAACTTATCCAACAAGCGTTTTATGCAGTGAATGTCCTTCCAGCTGCAACCCAGTACTGGGAAACATCCATACACACTCATTCACACACACGCTACGGATGATTTAGCCTAGCCAGCTCACCTATAGCACATGTCTTTGGACTGAGGGGGAAACTAAAGCACCTGAAGGAAACCCACGGCAACACGGAGAGAACATGCAAACTCCACACAGAAATGCCAGCTGACCCAGCCGAGGCTCATACCAGCGACCTTCTTGCTCTGAGGCAATTGTGCCACCCACTGCGCCACTGTGACGCCCCTCCTGTGAAATTCGAATTCTTTTTCAAAGATTTTTCCAAAACGTGAAAAGTTGAACTCACTTTTAATACCTAATTTCGTTTGTCATTGATGACAGTATATAATATTTTGCTGGTTATTTTGCAATATACTAATATTCAAGTTAAAGTGTAATTTAAAGACTTAATTAGGTTAATTAGGCAAGTCATTGAATAACAGTGGTTTTGTTCTGTAACCAGTATACACACACACACACACACACACACACAATCACCGGCCACTTTATTACGTACACCTTACTAATATGTGTTGGATCCACTTTTGCCTTCAGATCTGCCTTAATCCTTCATGGCATAGATTCAACAAGATATTGAAAATATTCCACAGAGATTTTGGTCAATATTGACATGATAGCATCACACAGTTGCTGCATATTTTTCAGTTTAACATCCATAATGCAAATCTCCCGTTCTACCACATCCCAAAGGTGCTCTACTGGATTGAGATATGGTGACTGTGGAGGCCATTTGAGTACAGTGAACTCATTGTCATGTTCAAGAAACCAGTCTGAGATGATTCACGCTTTATGACACAGCGCGTTATCCTGCTGGAAGTAGCCATCAGAAGATGGGTACACTGTGGTCATAAAGGGATGGAGATGGTCAGCAACAATACTCAGGTAGACTGTGGCGATGAAAGGATGATCAATTGGTACTAATTGGCTCAAAGTGTGCCAAGAAAATTTTTCCCACACCATTACACCACCAGCACCAGCTTGAACCATTGACACAAGGCAGAATGGATCCATTCTTTCATGTTGTTGATGCCAAATTCTGACCCAATAATCCGAATGTTGCAGCAGAAATCGAGAGTCAACAGACCAGGCAATGTTTCTCCAATCTGTTATTGTCCAATTTTAGTGAGCCTTTGTGAATTGTAGCCTCAGTTTCCTGTTCTTAGCTGACAGGAGTGGCACCCGGTGTGGTCTTCTGCTGCTGTAGCCCATCTGCCACAAGGTTGGACGTATTGTGTGTTCAGAGATGCTCTTCTGCAGACCTTGGTTGTAACAAGTGGATATTTGAGTTACTGTTGTTCTAGAAGCTGGAACCAGTCTGGCCATTCTCCTCTGACCTCTGGCATCAACAAAGCATTTGCACCCACAGAACTGCCCCTAACTGGATATTTTCACTTTTTCTGACCATTCTCTGTAAACCCTAGAGATGGTTGTGCGTGAAAATTCCAGTAGATCAGCAGTTTCTGAAATACTCAGACCAGCCCTCTGGCACCAACAACCATGCCATGTTCAAAGTCACTTAAATAATCCCCTTTCTTCCCCATTCTAAAACTCAGTAGATCCTCTTAACCATGTCTACATGCCTAAATACATGCTGCCATGTGATTGGCTGATTAGAAATAATTGCGGTAACGAGGAGTTAAACAGGTGTACCTAAAAAAGTGGCTGGTAAAAGTGTGTGTGTAATGTGTGTGTGTGTGTATATATATATATATATATACATATATATATACACACACACACACACACACACATACACTATATAGATACACATTTAATTTCACAGGAGAGTGAATAATTTTGTCTTCAACTGTTAATGTTTTCTAAGTTTAAAAGACCACTTTTAAACATTTTAATTTGGCACAGGCACCAAAATTGGACGTCTCATCTTTTAATTCTTGCATAGTAAAACAAAATTTACTGATTGAGTTTTGTCTTTGTTTTTTGACAGACAATGGAGGAGTATTTAAGCAAACCCACTTACTGAAGGATCGTTAACAGTCATCACGTCAGTCTACAGAAACAGACAGCAGGGTCCCAAATCAACCCTATTCCCTCATTCAATATTCCCTACATAGTCCACCAATGTAGTCCATTTCAGTGTGACTGAAAGAGAGTGAGTGAACTGAAGCTCTGAGTGCACTGAAGGGACAACGTTACAATTTTTCATGTGTGTCTAAAATCTCCATTACTGAATTGTACGTGATATACACTGAGCTGAGTAGTGTGTTCGAATTCATAGTGTTGGAAAAACAGTATGCGAGAAGTACTAAATCACATTCATATTACATACAACCCCAAATCAGAGAAAGTTAAGACAGTATGGAAGACGCAGATAAAAAAAAAAGAAAGTAGTGATTTCTGAATTTACTTTGACTTGCATTTCATTGCAGACAATACAACAAACATTATTTAATGTGTAAAGTATTTCAGTTCTGGCTCTTGAAACACATTTGAAAAAAAGTTTTACCAGTAAAGCATTTACCACTTTGTAATGTATCCATTCCTCTTTGAGGAACATTGTTTTTAAACATTTCAGTAATTTTTTCAAGTATTTGTTGGCAAACTTGGCCCATATTTGCTCCTAAATGACTTGACCAGGGATGGGCAAACTTGATCCTCGAGGGCGGGTGTCCCTGCAGACTTTTGTTCCAACACTAGTCAAACACACCTGAACAAGCTAATCAGTGTCTTCAAGATCACTAGAATCTATAAGCAGGTGTGTTTGATTAGAGTAGGAGCTAAACTGTGCAGGACACCGGCCCTCCAGGACAGAGTTTGCCCACTCCTGGACTAGACCTTCCTTAGGTGCTGCTTTTGTACCGATTCATAATTACAATCACCTGTTGACATCACCTGTTTCAAATCACATCATTCATTCATTTTCCTTCAGCTTAGTCCCTTATTTATCAGGGGTCGTCACAGCGAAATGAACCACCAACTATTTCAGCATATGTTTTATGCAGTGGATGCCCTTCCAGCTGCAACCCAGTACTGGGAAACACCCATTCACGCTTACATTCTCACACACATTCATACACTACGGCCAATTTAGCTAATCCATTTAATCCAATAGCACATGTGTTTGGACTGTGGGGCAAACTGGAGCACCCGGAGGACACCCACGCCAACATGAGGAGAACATGCAAACTCCACACAGCAATTGTTGGGATAAATTGCAGACCGTCTGTGTGTTTCCTCAGTAAGCTGGAGCTCCAGGAAGGCAACAACAACTGAGAGATGTGAATCCAACAGTTTATTGCTCTCTTCTAAAGAAGACTGGGGTATTCCCAGCTTTTATACATCATACTCAGGGTTACATGGGTTATGAATACGTGCAAATATTCAGCTCAGTTAGGCAGAACAATTTTATCCAGTGCTCAAGAATGTCAAGGCGCAACGTCAAGGCGCCTAGTACAGGGACAACTTACAATAAGATAAGACACAGTTACAAAACAGAATATTTGGAGAGTGACTACATGGATATTTCTTTCAATCCCCTCTTCCAGGCTCTGTTTTTACAAGAGCCTGGATCATACCATATTCTCATAAACTCTATTTGTTAAATGGTTACCCTCAGTTCCATTCATAGCTAAATGTTCATAACCCTTTACCTAAGGCATTAACCATCCTATACATTCGTTCCATAAAACATCTCAGAAGACATGGACCAAAAATACATACACATAAGAAAATAATAAGTACCGGTACTACCATTGAGACATATGGAGCCAATGATCCAAACAGGCTTTCTAAAAATCCCCATCCCCAATTATAATTTCTTTCCTTCATTTCATTCTTACACCTGTGATGATATCCTTTTCATCGCCTTTACAGCTTGTCCTACTCGTCCAAGATCCTCATCATCCGCGGGAACGAAAGTGCAGCATTGGCTCTCTCCGACCAGGGAGCAGACCCCGCCCCTTTCCGCTAAGAGCATGTCCAGAGCCAGTCTGTTTTGCATAGTCATTAGTCTCAGAGCTTTCATCTCCTCTCTTAGTCCAGAAATGGCATCCGTGGTACTGTTAATAAAAGAGGCCAGTCTATAATGCATGATCTCTTGCTGTTTTAAGGCATCTGCTACGCCAAAACTGGGAATCATAGCCTCCCAGAATCTAGTCCAGTGTGATCTCATACGGTGTTCGTCGGGTACGTCGTCCTGGGGAACTGACCTCCGTTCCCTTTTGGATTGTCTGGCAAGATGCATGACAGTGACCATGTGTTGTAATTGGATCACAGTACAAAGACCAGTCCAATTGGTGGGGTAAGTGTTGAAGATGGTTTCTCCCCCACAATACCAGTACCAGTCATCGGCCAGGACCGCATCCTGTCTCGGCCAAGTGGGGACACAAGTTACGTTGCTGCGTTGACAGTATGTGTTGTTCAGGTTGTAACATGCCGTGACAGCTGTCTCATTTGTGATATTAGCACATTTAAGTTTGTTCAGTTCACAGGTGCCTGGGATGTAACGTGGACAAACACTTAGTAGAGAACTATATTTTTTATTCTTTCGCCACGGTAAATATACCCCTGAAAATCGATCCCTCTCGCCAATTACTATATTACAATCTTTAGCTCTTAAGGTGGATACATTACCTCCATTTGTCCCATTAAAGCAAAAAGAAAAACTGAACCCCTGGGGTTTCGTCAACAAAATATTCAAACCCATAGTTCTAGGTGTAGGTATTACAACAGAATGATTCTTTCTGCTAGTTGATTTGCAAAGAGGCTCCCATGTTTTCTTGTTAGAAACACATGTGGGGCGCCACTCATAAATATCTCCCAAAGCATTTGTACAAAAAGCAAGTTTAGTACATGTAAAAGGTAAAGGTTTCAAGGATATAGTCACAGCAGAGGAGAACACTTCTTGGCAGACAACACATGACTCATTGGTTGTCTGTCGTGCAGTCCAGTTAGCATACTGCCAGAATAAGTTGTGTACTTCAGTGTGGGCCTGTGTCAGTCCCAGTAGGGTTATCAGTAGAAGTAGTCTGCAAAACAAAAACGATTAATATCATATCATAGACATTTACTTCAATGGTTTCACTCTGGTGCCATGGATCCACTGTGGAAAAAGATCAGTTAATACAGCAGTGCGTGTAACAGCCAGAACCTCAGCTGGCCCTTCGTATTTGGGGTCAGTTAAATCTTTCTGGGGTTTTATATCTTTTATTAGCACCTTGTCCCCTATCTGGAAAGGGTGTGCTGCCTCAAGTGGAATTTCAGGGTGTTTCTTTGTTACCCTTTCCCAATACTGATTAAGTTTCTGAATTAGGGCCGCTGAGAATTCTGATATGTGGTTAGAAAGCTCAATACCCACTCCCATAATTCCCCCTTGCCATGGGATAGGGAAAGGTCTTCCCATGACCACCTCATATGGTGATAAAGAATCCAAATTTGCTTGTGGTGTCATTCTCAAATCTGCTAGTACTATTGGTAAAATTTTTACCCAATCTTTATGACCGTGTTGTCTTAAGGCCTTCTTTATCTTTCCTTTCAAGGTTCTGTTAGTTCGCTCCACAAATCCAGATGATTGTGGATGATAGGGTATGTGGAAACGCCAATTTATATTTAATTCAGTTGCCAATTGTTGCGTTACCTTTGATGTAAAAGGTGTTCCTTTATCTGAATCGATACTTTGTGGGATCCCATATCTAGGTATAATTTCAGAGATCAATTTCTGTGTTACCACCTTTGCATTTTCCCTTGAGCAAGGAAAAGCTTCTACCCATTTTGAAAATTTATCTACGCAAACCAGTAGATACTTAAACGGTCCCCTCTTGGGCATATGCGTAAAATCTACTTGCCATTCAGAAAAAGGTGTAATTGGTCTTGGTAAATGTTGGTGCTGTGCCACAGGCTTTGATACATTATATTGAGCGCATATAAGGCATTTGTCAAGTATGTTATTAATGGTGGTTTCTAATTTTGGGACACAAAACAAAGATCGCATCATTTCATGTACCCCTCTTCGTCCACGATGAGTGACACCATGAAATTCGTGGACGAGGAATGACAGTGCCACATGTGGGAGACATAGGCGACCAGTGTTGTCGTGCCATAGACCCATCTTTTCATCAAACGTGGAAGAAAAGGCGTCCCAGAAGGACTTATCCTCGTCAGTGGCTGATGCTTGTAACATAGCCAAATCAATGTCAGGGAGCATCCCCGAAGCAGAGGTTGTAGACAACAAGGAAACGTGCATAGAGTCCTCAGGTAAAGGCTGTTGTGCTGCTATTAGCATGTCGGTCAGCCAGAGCGTTTCCTTTGGCTTCATCAGTGTGTTCCTTCGAATGGCCCTGAGTTTTAACAATGGCCAGTTGCGAGGGAAGATGGCAAGCCGTTATTAAATCAGTTATAAGGGTATGGCTGTGCACCCCCCATTTGTTGGAGGGCGACATTCAAAGTTTGATCGAACAGACCATCGCCAGTCATCGTTCGAAGCCTTTGCTTGAGCTGTTCTGGAGTCATTTGAGATCGATCAGATAATTGAAATTTAAGTATCTTCTGAACATCTGGAGTACAGTTACTAATAAAAGTGGAAATAAACAGTGGTTGTGGCTGCCTTTCAGGTAGATCAATATCCTCCCAAATGTATACAAGCATTGGAAAAACGCTGGAGGAAGGCAGAAACTGTCTCTTTCTTTTCCTGCTTACAGCTGGTCACGTGTGACAAATCTCTATGAGCACAACGAGTGTCCACAAGGTAAGCAGTAAGCTGTCGCTTCAGGATATCTATAGCACCCTGTTCATCCCGCCAGTAAAAGTACGGTACATCTTTTGTGTATTCTTGTTCCTCATAATCCCCTTCTTTAATTTTTACTCTACGTATCATTTGCTGGGGTTGTAGTTTAACCTCATCATTTTTAGAGCACAAGCAAGGAACTGCATCAATGAGGGCTGTCTCATCATATTGAGACCCCATTTTGTTCATCAATATAAATTTATAATCAGCTCCTGTAAGCTGTGCATTTCTAGAGACACGTATCATAGTTTCTACAAATTCTACTGGCCTGCTCATATCAGGAAGCAGTGAAATGACATCCTTGAGCTGTGTTGCAGAGGGAGGGGTTACTTCAGCATGTCCCCCTTTCTTTGAGACACATAGGAAAGCCTGATTATCCCCTTGGTCTGGTTTCTCTGTGCGAAGCCCCTCTAATTCTTGTACAGGATACAGAGGCATCCTCTGATGTGCCTTTCCTTGCCTCTCATCAGGAATGGGGGAGGAGAGGGTAGGAGTAGGAACAGTAACTGTAACTGAGGGAACAGTAACAACAGGGGCTGGAGGCACTTTGGGTGTCTCCTTTCTTTTTACCTCAATCTTTGATGCTGAGCCTGTAAGAGGCTTCGGAATTAATTTCTTTACCTCTTTTGGTAGGTTAATATTTTGTTTATCATTCCACACACTCATCATCTTCATCCAGATTTCATAACCCTTTTTCATATAATCATGGTCCCATTCAGGATCTCCTTCACTTTCATAAATTAATTTGTGAGCCCGTTTTAGCACATGGGGGTCAAATGACCCGTCTCTAGGGTAGGGATGCATCGCTTGTGCCTCAGTCCACCCTGCTAGATTATCTAACCATGGATTAGTGTAATATCCCCACCCACATCGATACATCCAATCTTTAGGGCCTTCCCCTATCTCAGGCTTGGGGTATGAACCACCCATGTTAGTAAATACTTACTAGAAAACACACAGAATGATCGTTTTACTTTTGTATAGCGCGCTCTTCTTGGCTTTTCAGGGAAAATCCCAGCCAAGGATTACTCAGTTCAGTAATGAAGCTTATCAGGCAGTCAAACCAAATTCATGTCTTGCCAGCTTCCTGAACACTCAGTTCAGTGATGAAACTAATCAGGTAGTCAAAACCAAATTCATGTCTTACCTGATCAGCTTCATCACGTCGGGGGTCACCAAGTTGTTGGGATAAATTGCAGACCGTCTGTGTGTTTCCTCAGTAAGCTGGAGCTCCAGGAAGGCAACAACAACTGAGAGATGTGAATCCAACAGTTTATTGCTCTCTTCTAAAGAAGACTGGGGTATTCCCAGCTTTTATACATCATACTCAGGGTTACATGGGTTATGAATACGTGCAAATATTCAGCTCAGTTAGGCAGAACAATTTTATCCAGTGCTCAAGAATGTCAAGGCGCAACGTCAAGGCGCCTAGTACAGGGACAACTTACAATAAGATAAGACACAGTTACAAAACAGAATATTTGGAGAGTGAGTACATGGATATTTCTTTCAGCAATGGACCAGCTGGGACTCGAACCAGTGACCTTCTTGCTGTGAGGCGACAGTACTAACCACTAAGCCACTGTAAGACTTCTTTTCCTTACACTTCACTTAAAGGTGTCCTTGTTAAAGTGTAACTATTCATTTACTCCTGAGTGAAATTAATTAATGGCATGTACTTGTGGTAACGTAACGTGGTTAGGGTTAGAATGAGGGCTAGATTTATACATTAGAGTAATGATGCATAATTAATTGCATTTTCTACTATAGTAAGGACATTGAACATGACTAACAAGGACATCTTATAGAAAGGTCTTTTATTTAGAGGAAATTACTTGTTTAATTTAGTAAGGATGCATTAAATTGATCAAAGATGACAGTAGAGCTCATTTGTATTCCTCTACATGCTGACAATCAGTCAAAAACTCTCGGACAGATCATGAACTGTCTTGTTTCTATCTCAAAATGACAGTATAAAAAAGGTTTTGCAGGTGCTGTTCAATGTATTGACCTAAATTGAATGTTTTTTTTGTTATCAAATATTCATATTTTAGTCAAAATAAAGTTGCAGTTCACTTATAAATGTCAGTAATAAATATAAATGCCCAACTCATTTTAATTTGCCAATAATTATTGCGAACCCGAACCCTGTATGTTTTCATTTAAAGGGAAAGTTCACCCAACAATGTCAAATTTAATAATATAATTAATATTATAATTTACTTTCCCTAAATCCTGTGCATAAATTCAACAGTTTGTATGAATAAATTTAGAGAAGCAGAGTAATTGATTTCTTTTTATACTACTACACTCACCGGCCACTTTATTAGGTACACCTGACCAACTGCTCGTTAACACAAATTGAGTTAACTGCCAATCACATGGCAGCAACTCAATGCATTCTGGCATGTAGACATGGTCAAAACGATCTTCTGCAGTTCAAACTGAGCATCAGAATGGGGAAGAAAGCTGTTTTGAAGGGGATTTAAGTGACTTTGAACGTGGCATGGTTGTTGGTGCCAGATGGGCTGGTCTGAATATTTCAGAAACTGCTGTTCTACTGGATTTTCACACACAACCATCTCTAGGGTTTACAGAGAATGGTCAGAAAAAGAGGAAATATCCAGTTAGGGGCAGTTCTGTGGGCACAAATGCCTTGTTGATGCCAGAGGAGAATGGCCAGACTGGTTCCAGCTGATAGAAAGGCAACAGTAACTCAAATAAGCACTCGTTACAACCGAGGTCTGCAGAAGAGCATCTCTGAACACAAAACACGTCCAACCTTGAGGCAGATGGGCTACAGCAGCAGAAGACCACACCGGGTGCCGCTCCTGTCAACTAAGAACAGGAAACTGAGGCTACAATTCACACAGACTCACCAAACTTGGACAATAACGATTGAAAAAAATGTTCCATACTGCCTTGTATCAACGATTCAGGCTAGTGGTGTTATGGTGTGGGGGATATTTTCTTGGCACACTTTGGGTCTATTAGTACCAATTGAGCATTGTCAACACCACAGCCTACCTGAGTATTGTTGCTGACCATCTCCATCCCTTTATGACCACAGTGAACTCATCTTCTTATGGCTACTTCCAGCAGGATAATGCACCATGTCATAAAGCGTGAATCATCTCAGACTAATTTCTTGAACATGACAATGAGTTCACTGTACTCAAATGGCCTCTAAAGTCACCAGATCATAATTGAATAGAGCATTTTTGGGATGTGGAGGAACAAGAGATTCACATCATGGATGTGCCGCTGACAAAACTGCTGCAACTGTGTGATGCTATCATGTCAATATGGACCAAAATCTCTGATGAATATTTCCAGTATCTTGTTGAATCTATGCCACAAAGGATAAAGGCCGTTCTGAAGGCAAAAGTGTGTCAAACCTGGTACTACTAAGGGGTACCTAATAAAGTGTCCGGTGAGTGTATATTTAGCAGAATAATTACATTTTTTTTAAATAAAGAAGATTACAAATATCAAGACATTTATTGTACATGCTTAGAAAAATTAAGCAAATTGAATGAGAAATCAGTTGATTACTGTTTATATTCAGGCGATATTTATATTAAAATGATTATTTCTCGAGTATTATTCTTTAAATCAAGCTAAAAGGCCCCTTTTGACTCAGATTTAAAGAATTAAAAGAGTTTTTCAACACTTATAGGGGTTTATGTAGTATTAAGATTTAAGAAGATTTTAAGATTTTTTTAGGAAGTATTAAGCAATTAAATTAATTTAGCTCAAATTAAAAAGTTTTCAGACAAATTAGAATTATAAAAGTAATTTAAATACAATTTAATGATGTAATCAGTTATTAATCATTTTCATTATTAGTTTTTTACCTTACCCAACTCTTCTCCCATAGTAATTATATACGCAGTAACTGTGTGATGAGATGCGTTTAGTTACTGACAACCAAACATGCTGTTCAGCAGGAAAAACAAACAAACAAATGTGTATGGCTTTCAATGACCTGAAGGTGAGCAAATGATGGCAGAACTTTCATTTTTTAAATTGTACTGTCTCTTTAAGAAAAAAATAATAACAGATTGATGAAGATTTCATGTCGTGCATGCCAAGTTTGCACAGAAACATGACACAAACAGAGGAGCATGGTGTGAACAAATGCTTTATTTACCTCTGCCACGTCACACATGACCTCATCACACGCACAAGAAACTGAAGGACTGAAAGCAGAACTAGCGGGAAAAAAAGTCCTGTGTGTTCATCTGTTGAAGAGGTAATGCTCGAGTCGCTAACCAGGAGAAACAAACTCGCTGGGTTTACTAAAATAGGTTTATATATTCATATATACACGCTGGAGCACTACATCGACTAAACGCAACCGAGGAATATAGTTGTTTCAAAATACTTTATTTCATGACAGAACTTCAAACAGTAAATATATGGCGGGTAAAATGAGTGCTGAACACGTCATGATTTTTCTTAGTGAATATTTTACTGTAGGTGCTGTTGACATGATTGACAGATTTTTTTTTGGTAAAAATCCAAAAAGAAATGAAACAAAACTAATATATAAAGAGTTGAGATGCAAAAACCTCTAAGTGCCGTCGGATTTTTCTCAGCTTTCTTTGTTTATGTTGACATATTTCATTTTAAAGAGCATAAAATGAAAATAAAAGTGCCATAAAAGTGATATTACTGAACATACACACAGGAGCCTGATAAAAATGCTCATTATAGAGGAACATTTCCTCTATATTTTTATATTTTCCTCTATAATTTTGGCGTGTGGTGTGCGGTCTGGCGCAAAATGGCTGCCGTCGCGTCATTCAGGTGGATGCTGCACACTGATGGTAGATGAGATTCCCCCAATGTGAGTAAAGCGCTTTGAGTGCCCAGGAAACCGTTATATAAATGTAAGGAGTTATTATTATTTATATTATTATTAAAATTTCAGACAGCATTTAGAGGTTTTCTCATCTGAACTCTTCATATTATGTGTGATAATTATGTGTAATAATGCAATGACGCAAGGAGAAAGTACTGAACTTATTCATTCATTTTCCTTCGGGTTAGTCTCTATTTTAGGGGTCACCACAGTGGAATGAACCACCAACTATTCCTGCATATGTTTTATGCAAGAGCTGGCCTTCCAGCTGCAACCCAGTACTGGGAAATACCTATACACACTCATTCACACACACACACATACACTTATACACTAAGGCTTTTTTTGGTAAGGACAGCTTCAAGATGGCTCTTGAATGGAGAATGAAACTACACTCATTGCTCAGGTGTGATTTATTTATATATTTTTGTCTAAAAATATTGACTGTGATGTGAGTTTTGATCTCTAATTCTTATTTTCTAATATATTCAGGTCAGGTGATTGCCTGGAACGTTCTAGAAGCTCTGAAAGCATTCAAGAGTTTTCTTGGCTGTGTTTTGGATCATTGTCTTCCTGAAATGTCCAGCCTGGTTTCATCTTCATCTTCTGGTAATTTCTGAAGCAGATAATATAAATTTACACTGACTACTGAGAGATTTCAGCTGCTGTCTGGTCTTTCCATGGCATATTACACCTTCCGTTCTTCATGTGTTCAATACTTTTTTACTTCGCTATTTCATTTTACTAAACATAACTTAACTTCTATACCAATTAGTTTTGATTTCATTGTATGTATGGATTGCTTTAGTTGTTACTGACATCTGGTGACAACTTCAAGTAAACAGCACCTTCAGAAATATGTTTTCTAAGTAAAACGATGACAAGTTCAATACTTATTTCACCCTCTACATGAGTTATCTACATTTCAGGGACTTTTTCTCCAGCATCAGAGTCTGTTTCGTCAGCGTCGTCGCTTTCCGGATCCAAAAGCCGCAGGATTTTCATCATTGTGCTGTTGTCTATTCCTGTAGCCGCGTTTTCGTGCTCCGCTGGTGGTTTTTCATAGTAGTTTTGAAGGTTTACTGGTTGATCTTCGTCACGAAGTGGCGCCATACGTGTGTGTCTCTGCATTTCGGTTGCCAGATAGTTAGCTAACTCATCTTCCTCGCCGGCGGTGTCGTCGTAATCATCCCTGCTTGTTTGCCTTTCATAATAACGTTCATTTCTTGCTTGCGTTGGTCTTTGGTTTTGTTGCGCTGCACTTGCCAGCTCGAGGATGCTCAGGATGTCCTGAGCGATGTCTGACGTTTCTATTGGCCGACGATGTGGCGCTGAAGGGAATGTTTTGTGAGCATAACCCGTACGTCCTGGTAAATCCTTCCTGTTTTCGTTTCGAAGAAGCTGAAGAAGTTCCTCCGGAGGAATTCTGAGCTTCTGTGAGATTTTGAGTATCTCCGATAAAGACTGCATGGGTTTGACTTCCCTCTCCTCCACGTTTTCTTCCTCCTCATCTTTTTTCTCAACCTCCTCCTCCTCATCCTCCTCTTGTCTTTTCTGCTGCTCCTGCTCTTTCTTTTCCAGCATTTGCAGAAGGTAATAATCCACAAGCTTCGCCATGTCCTCAGGCTCCTCCTCCTCCCTTTGTGTCTGCAGCCAATCAGATTGAAGGGATCTCTTCCCATCATCATCTTCATCATCATCCTCAAGGTTGCGTGTGAATCCGTGCCTCTCTCTTTCTTCCTCCTCGCTCTCCATTTGCTCCTCCAGAGGCGTCCAATCATCAGTTCCCATGATGTCCTCCAAGACCATCTTCCTTTGCCTGTATAAATCTTCATCATCTTCATCATCATCACTTCGTTTGGTGTTGGTTTTAGATGAAGCGATTCCACTCAGCTCCTCGAACACAGACTGTAGGGTCGCCAGCTTTTGTGGCGTATACTGCTCTTCTGCGTTCTCATTGGTCCGTTTAAGCGGCTGATCGTCCTCAAACATGATTGGATACTCTCTGTAGCGTCTCCGGTTTTCAGCCCACGAGTTTCTCCCATAGTTCCCATCATCTGTGTCCACCTTCACTTGTTGTTTTGGTCTTGCGAACTGGTGGTATCTCGGAGCGGCGATGACCTTCTGTGGTGTTTTCATGTGTTCTTCGGTTTGCTGTAGAGTCGTAAGCACGGCTTGAAGCAACTCCTGAGTGTTGTCCTTCTCTTCCCTTCGAGTTGGAGATGCCATTTTAAGCACTGAACGCACGCTCTCCATGTCATCTTCTGCGTCTTGATCTGATTGGTCAGGATCTGCTGGAGTCCTCTCGCTGAGGCTTTGGATGTATCGTAGAGCTCGGAGCATCTCTGCGCTGGGAGGAGGGCGCAATTGGGATGGGGGTCCATAAGAAACGGGTTCAGTTCCACTAAGGCGATGCTCTCTCAGTGTGGCTCCGTGTGCTGTGTGTATCAGGGAGAGAAGTAGGGGCAGAAGAAGCAGCGAGGGGACGAGGAATACGCCTGCTGCGCAGCATCGAGATGACGACGAGGATGACGACATGCTTCACCTGAGAGCGGGAGGGAGAGATGGTCAGTCAGACAGATTTACATGAGAGAGAAAAACATGTGCTGAAGCTGTCCCTTGGGTGGTGGTCCTTTTTAAAGGTGATAAAATGGACGGTTTGTGCACTTCAAGGCCATGTCTACACTAATCCGGATAAATTTGAAAACGGAGTTGTCCTCTAAAAACGCTTCACGTCCACACTGTCGTTTCGATTCGTTTTCCATAACTTTGTCATCCACACTGAAACGACTACCAATGCTTTCAACCTGTACTGCGCATGCGTGAAACGTAAGACGCTTCGTCACGCGTCATTTCCGGCTGACGTTTATTTTCTTTCCGGCTCTTTGAAACGTTTCGGCAAAATGTCAAGGAAAAGCACAGAGTTTTTTAAATGGACTGACAATGAAGTAGAGTTGCTGCTTCGAGTAACACATGAATACAAAGTTGCAAAAGAGAGTGGAAATGTAGACTGGGAGACGTGCCAAAACAAATACGCCGATATACTGGACCGCTTTAAAGAACAGTATCCTGCTGATGACGCTGGTTACCCTCACAGTAAGGACGACATCACTAAAATCATAATCACAACGAAAATAAAGTAAACGAATTAGTAACATGACTGTGTCACATGACAAAAAACGCGTCATCGTTTTCGAAAGACTCCGTTTTCACGTCTACACTACGACACGAAAAAGGCGTTTTCAAATTTATCCACTTTGGAGATCGTTTTCAAAAAGATACGTTTTTGTTTCCTAAAAACGCGTCTCAGTGTGGATGGAAGGGCAAAACGGAGACAAAAATATGCGTTTTCAAATGAAAACGCATTAGTGTGGACATGGCCTAAGGGTAAATAACTAAGGTGGAGAGGGGTCGTTTAACACATTTTGGTCATTCATTAATTTTTCTTCAGCTTAGTTTCTTATTCATCAGGTTTCACCACAGTGGAATGAACTGCAAACTATTCCAGCATTTGTTTTACACAGTGGATGCCCTTCCAGCTGCAACCCAGTACTGGGAAACACCCATACACACTCAAACGTATACACTACGGCCAATTTAGTTCATCCAATTCCCCTATAGTGCATGTGTTTGGACTGTAGGGGAAACCGGAGCACCCGGAGTAAACAACATGCAAACTTCACACAGAATTGCCAACTGGTCCAACTGGGACTCGAACCAGCGACCTTCTTGCTGTGAAGCAACAGTGCACTGTGACGCCCTTTATGACATTTATATTCACACTCAAGTTTGTTTGCTTTTTTGATTTTTTTTTTTACATTTATTAGTTTGTCATTTGAAAATTGGATTTTATTTCAAAGATCTGTCTTAATGTTTTCATGCCTCTTGTTTTGGACCCCATTGACATCAGTGTATACACACACAAACACATGTAAACAAACACATAGCTTGAACTGGTTTAACATTAGGCTCTTTCTGCATTAACAAACTCAGTTACGACGAGTGTGCATGGTTACAATAGTTTGTTAAGCAACACATGTTTGCGCGTGGGAGCATTCGCAATGTTGCCTCCGACACATGCGCACACACAAAAAGGCACACTCACACAAAAACACACACTCAAACACAAACATACATACATTCCAGGCAAATCTGGGTATTTTGTTTGGCATGCAACTCTATTAGTTTTATTGTTGTACTTTGTTTTTTTGTTTTTTTTACTTTAGATCAATGATTTTTCGCCCCTCAATGTTTTGGACCCCATTGACTTCTAGTGTACAAAGTACAAACAAACACATAAACTCCACACAAAGTGATTTAGTTGGCATGCAAACTCAAAAAATGGTTTCATTTTTAATGTCTTCATTATTTTGGACCCCCTTGACTTACAATATACACACACTCCAGGCAAATCAAGGTGATTTATTCAGCATGCAAACTCAAAAAGAAAAGTTTTGTGGGTAAATAACAATTTTGCATTTCAGTTTTTGACTTCAAGATGGGTGAATATTCTTTATTTAATTATATAATATATATTTTATATTCGTTGTTTTGGACCCCATTGATTTTCAATGTACACAAACACACGCACGAGCAAAATCAAGACTATTTATTTGGCATGCAACCCCAAGATTATGCTTTTATGCTTAATCTTAAATTTCGTTATTATTCAGTTTTTCTCATCACATGTTTTTGAATGTCTTTGTTGTTTTGGACCCTATTGGCTTTGCACATGCATTCCAGGCAAATCAAGGTGATTCTTTTGGCTTGCAAACTCAAAATTAAAAGTTTTGTGGTTAAATTAGATTTTTTTTTTTTAAATTCAGTTTATGACTTTAAGAAGGGTGGATTGATATTTTATACATTTATTATTTTTTTACATTTAATTATATATTATGTTTTTGTTGTTTTGGACCCCATTGACTTTCAGTGTACACACTCATGTGCGTTCCAGGCAAGTCAAGGTCATTTATCTGGCATGCAAACTCAAAATAAATTGTTTTATGGTTCAATAACAATTTTGCTTCAAGATGGGTGAATTGATATTTTAGATTTTTTTTTATTTATTTATGTACTTTTTATATTTGTTGTTTTGGACCCCATTGATTTTCAGTGTACACACACACACACACACACACACATGCAAAATCAAAACTATTTATTTCGCATGCAACCCCAAAATTATGCTTTTATGGTTAATCTTAAATTTTGTTATTATTCAGTTTTTCTCATCACATGTTTTTTTAATGTCTTTTATGTCTTTGTTGTTTTGGCCCCCATTCACATTCAGTGTACACACACATGCATTTCAGGCAATTTAAGGTGATTTATTTGACTTTTCAGTTTTTGACTTTAAGATGGACGAATTGAAATTGCATATTTCTTTATTTAACTCAATATGTTTTTTAGTCATTGTTTTGGACCCCATTGACTTTCAATGTACACAAACACACCTATGTTCAAAACATAGACTATTCATATGCATCCCAACCACAAATTATGTTTTATTCTTAACCTTGAATTTTTGTTAAAAGTTTTTCTCGTAAAGATATGATCCTTTTACTCTCCACTGTTTTAAGCCTCACTGAATTTCAGTACATGGACAAAACATTCATAATACTGATTTTTCCTTTTGTTTTATTGTTTTGTTATGCAAAGCAGGAAAGTAAGCTGACGTTACTGTGAGTAAATGATTACAGAATTGTTCCAGTCTACTGTTTATCGGTTATAGGGTAACAAAGAGCTACCATTACATTACCATTGTTTACAAGGCTAAATCTCCCATTACAGTCTACACTCCTTTCTCTATTCCTGTTTGTATACCCCCCCCCTCTCTCTCTGATTTTCTGACATCTGTTGAAAGCCTGTTGATGAGTGTTTACGGAGCACTCAGTGCGTGCGCGCGCACCCTGCGCTGAAAATCTCATTAGTTTCTAAATTGCTACCGCGACTAAATGAGTCATACCCCGTTGCTACGGGAAACCGCGCGATGATCCGCACTGCTGTTGAACCGCAAAGTGCCGTCAAACGGAGACGACGAGGAGCCCGGGGCACGGCAATCTGCTTACTTGAAATCTCTCCGATGCACAAGCTCGATATTCAAGTGCAAATACAGTATGTAGAACTTTAACATCAGAATTGCTTTTAAAATGTGCGTATAATTGAAACATCACATCTTTGTCGAATTAAAATGAACACAAGCTTTATGAGCTGTTGAGATTTTCATATTCAATTGCGAAGTTTACGACTTTAATGAATTC